TATATATATATATGTGTGTGTTAATTTAATATTATTAAATTTTTGGTGAAAGAAATTAAAATTATATTATAATGATACTTAAAAGATTAAAATTATTTAATTAAATTTTAAAAATTAAAATTCATACTAAAATTATTCAACCAAAACCTTTGAAACTAAAATCATATCACTTTAGAGTTAAAGAATATAATTAAACTTATTTTATTTATACTATCAAGAAGAAGAAAAAAGACAATCGATGTCTCTATGAAAAAATAAAATAAATTAGTATTTAAAAAAATGAATAATTGTTATTTTTAAAGAAAGTAATTGTTTTTTTTTTATATTTTTTCATTTTATCCTTAAATATAAATAAGTGAAAAAATATAATCCAAATATATAATTATCTTTAAAAAAAGATACTTAAAAAAATACTTCTTTATATATTATTATATATTATCTTTCAATACGCGTAAAGTTTATCATATATGATAAGTTTTTTTTTTAAGGGATATGATAAGTTTTTTTTATTCATTTATATATGATAAGTTAAGCTTAAATATTATGAAGTTTCCTTTTTAATAAATATTAAACAAGTCTAATTCATTTATTATGTATTATGATAGACATAACATTTATGTCATTTCATCAGTATTAAAAAGAGACGTTTTTCAAAATTTGACAGCATAGATTTCATATTATCCGCACAAAAAAAAATTGTCTTATACTTTCTTTTGAAAAATATTAATCATATTCATTTGTTAATTATTATCTTAAGTTAATATATATATATATATATATATATATATATATATATATATCTTTTTAAAATATGAAAAAAGAGAAATAATTTTGTAATTATAGAATATTAAGTCTTATGATTGAGAAAAAAAAAGTAAAAACTGAAGTTTAAGAGTCAATTTTTTTGTGATATTTAATGATAAACAAAATTAATAGATATTTTATCAATAATATAATTAGAAAAATAAATATATAACTTACTTATTAAAATGAATCCACTAATCAATAAATCATTAGTTTGAATAATATTGGATTTGATTTCATTAAGTATTATTTATGATTCAAGTTTTTTTTAATAAAAAAAATTAAGAAGAAAGATTTTATTAAAAATAATTAACAAAAAATTCTATATAATTTAATTATCGATAAAATTGGTCAATATTTTGTATAAATGATATAATTAAAAAAATAACTAATTAAACCAATGACTAATAATATAGTTAAAAATAAGAACTAAACCAATGATTTACAGATAAAGTAGAGGTAATTTACAGTTTAAGCAATTGAAGGGAATAGTGTAATTAAAAGTTTGAAAGGAACTTAGGCGTTACATAACATTGAAACAAATTGTGATTATTGTACGCGGAAAGCATGCAGGGCGCAAGGTAAGTCCAAAATTCGAAACTGAAAAAAAGATCTGAAGACAGTGAGGAATTGAATCGATAAGTGGAAGTAGTAAAAGTGAAGCTGAAATGGGTAGGTCTAAGAAAATATTAATTAAAGCTGAAATAAGGGATGAAAAAGAATAACAAAGGTCTTCGTGTGGGACCCTCCTTCAAATCTGTGACAGAGACAGCAGTTTCATTTCTCAGCTCCTCTTTGTGCATTTTGCATATTTAAACAAACTCTCCTCATCCTTCTTCTCTCTCTCGCTAGAGCTACAAATATTATAATATATATTTTTTTTATTTCTCCCTGCTTAGGACTTTAATATATATATATACATATATACTCTAAAGTTGGAAGCTTTGTATTCTTATGTATGATGGTTGTGTTGTGTGAATTCTCAAGCCAAGCAAAGTCCTCTCTTTCACACCTTTCAGACTCTAAACCATGGGAAGAAGAATCTAGGGTTTAGCAGCACCAGGTCCATCAAGGTCTGTGCTTTGGTGCTTTTTTGTTTTCTTTGTCACTGGAAAATTGGGTCGGTTTTTCTAAAGGAGGATATGCTGCAACCCCCAAGGCACCCTCTGTTGGTTCTGATTCGACGGTTTTCTTTGTTTCCGAAAAACATGCCATTTTTTCTCCCTGAGTTGGAATCTTGAAACCTTAACTTGAAATCCTATTTTTGTGCCTCCTTGTCTGGTGAAAAAATGGGATTTTTTCCATCTGGGTCGGTTTATCTGCCACATGAGGCTGAATGTCTGATATGTTTGTGGATAAGTGGGGTACTTTCTTAGTAGTCTTCTTGTGTGTTTGGTTTAGTTCTGCCCCTTGTTTGGGGACTTAGTTTTTCCCTTTTTTGTTTTTGTTTGTGATTTTTTGATGGAAGAGGTTGAGCAAGCTAATAGAGCTGCTGTTGAAAGCTGCCATAGGGTTCTGAGTTTGTTGTCTCAGCCCAGGGATCAGGTTCAGCATAGGAATTTAGTGGTGGAAACTGGAGAAGCTGTGGTGAGGTTCAAGAAGGTTGTTTCCTTGCTTCACAATGGTTTGGGTCATGCAAGGGTGAGGAAGGTTAAAAACCCTCAACCCCCCTTTTGCCAGAGAATCTTCCTAGACAACCCAAATTCTGGCAAAACCAACCATCTCTCTAAAAATCTGCAGTTTCCCCAAACCAGCTTTCATGACAATTCAATTCAGGAACTAGGTTCAACCATAAAAAATTCTCTCTCTCTTGGACAACCATCTTTGGAATTGAGCTCTAGTGGGAAAAGTCCTCTTAACCTCGCACAGCAGGGTTCATCAACTCACTATCACTTTTTTCAGCAGCAGCAGCAGCAAAGGTTGTTGCTGCAGCAGCAACAACAACAACAACTGAAGCATCAAGCAGAAATGATGTTCCGAAGGAACAACAACAGTGGCATAAACCTGAATTTTGACAGCACTAGCTGCACACCAACAATGTCATCCACCAGGTCCTTTATTTCCTCCTTGAGCATAGATGGAAGCGTGGCTAACTTGGATGGAAGTTCCTTCCATTTAATAGGAGCTCCACACTCTTCTGATCAGAATTCGCAACAGCACAAGAGAAAATGTTCGGCCAGAGGTGATGAGGGCAGCCTGAAATGTGGGAGCAGTGCTAGATGCCATTGCTCTAAGAAGAGGTAGCATATATTTCATTAAATTCTGTTGCTTCAAAAGTTTTATTAGTCCTTCTAGTGTGTCACTTATAATTGTTTGTTCGTTGCAGGAAACATAGAGTGAAGAGATCGATTAAGGTGCCTGCTATCAGCAACAAACTTGCAGATATCCCTCCTGATGATTATTCATGGAGGAAGTATGGCCAGAAACCAATCAAGGGCTCTCCTCACCCTAGGTATGTTCAACTTCTGCTTTCAGAGATTTTATTGATTCAAGGGACACTACATGAACATAATTGACATGAATATAATTGTTCTGTATTGACTTTGTAAAGCTTCTGAACTATTTTGTTATTTCTGAAAATCTTATGCTGTTTGGTGTGCATATATGAATTTATCTTTCTTTTTATAGCATTGAACCTAACTGCACATGAGGAGGATATACTAGCCTGTATAGGGCATCTTTTAGTTTCCTATTCTTTATCTTTTGGGCGTGTGAATATGTCACTACTATTTTGATCCGGTTCCTCTGTTTGTGCAAGTAATTTGTTCTTACTTGGTATCCAGGTTGATGAAAACATTATAGATTTGGGATGATTGAAATTGTCCTTGAATTTTCGTATGTGATATCCACAACTATCTCGAAATCTTCTAGTACAAATCTTGCTTTCACAGTTCTATGTAGTACCCTCACTATTGATTAACCACAAAACTTTTTTCATGGCTCTTTTATGTCTCGAAAACATGTTTGAGAAATGATTCTTGCATTTTGGTAGTCTTGGCATAAACTCCTTCGTTTAGATAACTGTAAGGTTCATGCTCTATTATTTGCACCTTATTGGTAATCATGTGAAAGGTGAAGTTGAAGGTGAGACACGGGTTTTATGTTTGAGGAAACCGACATTAATTTGACCTTTTATATTTTCAGGGGATATTATAAGTGCAGCAGCATGAGAGGGTGTCCTGCTAGGAAGCATGTTGAGAGATGCTTGGAAGAGCCTACCATGCTAATTGTTACCTATGAAGGCGAACATAACCACCCCAAGTTACCAACACAAACTGCAAATGCATGAACTTTGTGGAGAGCTTAACCAAGACCAAGCCTATCAGTCAATTTGTCAAAATCTTTGTGTTTGGCTTGAGATGCTGCTGTACATATTTTAAGTGATGTAGTCATGGATGAATATTGTTGGCGCAGATTTTGGCTTATGGATAGTTTGGCTAACGAGCCGTATATTTAGGGGATGAGAATGAGGATCACTGATTAAATGAACCTGTAAAATTGGCTAGTTTCAATTGGAAGAACTGTTTCATCTTTCTTAAGCCTGTTATAAACATTTCAGGTTTTTCTAAATGAATGAAATGCCTTTGCAAAATGCTAATGATCTTAAAATTTGGGTTTTTGACTTAACTCAACATCAAAAGTAAGCTAAGGGGGCCGAGTTATCCTCAATTATATGTTGTTTTTGTCTTGTCATGGATTTTTTTATTGGTTGGAAATTTCAAACTTAAAATTTGTAAGAGCAGACATTTATGATTGTTCTGATTTTAGGTGACTCGACAAACATTACTGGATGGGTCGAAAAATGATTCTTTGTATGATATAATAGCTTAGACTAATTCAAGAAAAACCATGGCATGGCACCTGCCAGTGATAATGGATGCCAACAAGTTTGGTAACTGCCAATATTCCTTTTCATCTACTTCGTATGTTGAAGCTGTTTTAGGACCATCAAGTCCCTCAATTGATGATGGATGTCGTGTAATAATTCAAAGTTGGACTTTTGAACAGAGAAATGAATGGCACACCCTCCTTGATTTGCAATATCTACATGTGAAGTTTCATTCGGTTTGTTACTTCTCCTAATAGAAGTGTATCTTGGGTTGTGGAAGTTTCTCAGCACAGCATGTGAGTTGAGAGGGGACCAATATGGGCATTCATACTCGATCATTGTTTTCTTGGGTCCAATCCCAACCCAAATTTTATCGATGTTATTAGAGAATAATTCTATCCTTTGCCTTCATAGCCCGAGAGTCATTGGCCTTATATAATCAATTACTCCTTTCAATATTATAAAAACAAGAAAATTAAGGGATGGGGAACGTACTTGCATTATTGGCTAAATTTAGCATTAAGTGATTAGGATTAGGATGAAATATCAAATAGTATAGTCTCTAGAAATGATCTATAATTGGAAAAGGGGTGTTACTAAAGATTCTAGAATGATATGCTAAAAGCTTCACTTAATTGTGATAGTTGTAACAAGAACAACTTAAATTTAGTGCTTTTGTAATTAAAATTGAAGTTTTACTTTGGTGTAAATTTTTATTATGTGGATAAAATCCTATTTTTAATTGGACAAAATTAAAAGTATTTAAAAACTATATCTAAGTTGTCTTTGTAACAGTTATCCACTAATCTTGAATTTGTATACGCGTGGTGTCCATTTTGGGAAGAAAAATGGAGGCCGTATAATATGGTTTAATTCTAACATAGGATGAATGAGGGTAGACTTTTTTGTTTCAAGTGATTGATGATGATTTCCGCTAAGTTTCTAGCCTTTGATGGAACAAGTACCATGTGTCAACTATCATAGGTAGTGGTAGACTAAATGAGAATTCTCAATTGGTCAAATAAGGAACCTCCACGCAACACTCGCATTAAGGCTTTCATTATACGATGACGCAAGAGAAAACCAATTAGTGACCATTTCTTGCCAACTTTGCTTTCTTAACCTTTCAATGCACATAAAGACTTTTTTAGGTTTTTAACCCACACTTTCTTCAAAATATTTTGAAGCATTGATTTTATGTTTCTGTTTCAATGAATTGGGTTGAGTCCATTGGGCTGAAGATCAAGTCTTTTTTGCCTTTTCTTCACATCAAGTCCTTGTATCCATATGAGCCAACTCTGTATTTTTAAATGACTGAGATTATTTTTTTATATAATTAAAAGTTTATATTATATACATTCCATTTAAATAACAACAAGCATGTGAAAATGACACTTTGTACTTTTCTTTATTTATCTTTTAGAGATTTTGAAAGAAAATTATTGTAAAACAAAATTAAGATTTTAAAGTAGATAATTGTATTGAATTTTTTTTTAATTGTAGAAGGTGAGTAATATGAACTTAGGAATAAAAGAGTTTAATTAAAAAATTGAAAACTAATGAGGTGATTACTAAACCTTATCTCTTTCATAGAGATATAGATAACACATTTTATAACTTTTATGCATATTATTAGAAAAAATGATACAAAAATTCAAATGAGTAAATTATAAAGCATAACTAGCAAAAAAAAAAAAAGAAGTTAGACTTAATAAATTGAGAACCTCAACATTTTTAAAGTAACATTTTGTAATATTTGATATCAATTTACATTTATTTGATGTTGAGGTCAAATGTTCATACTTAAGAAATTGATATAGTAAAGATCCTTTGACTTGGAATAGGGGTGCACACATAAGTCATCAACATTTTTAAAGTAACCTTTTGTAATCTTTATCGTCAATTTTTTATATTTATTTAATATTGATGTGACTCAAATAATCAGATCACCTATATCATGTCACTTAAATGAGGTCATGTATTCTGACTTAAGAAGCTGACATAGTCGTAATCTTTGGCTTTGAGTAAGAATATCCAGTTAAATTTGCAACATTTTACTATAAGCTCCTGCAATTTTTATTGTTAATTTTCATTTATTTGATGTTGATGTGACTCATAAATATTTAAATTTCATATGTCATGTCTCTTAAATAAATTTGAGTATGCACACTTTAGAAACTAACATTGAAGGGATCTATTAACTTGGACTAGGAATGCATATATAAATCCTTAACTTGTTTTAATCCTTATAGCTAATTTTTCATTTATGAGATGTTCATGTTAACTTCTTGTAATTCTTACTGTTAGTTTTTTATTTATTTAATGCTAAAGTGACTAATAAATGATATTACATATCTCATGCCACTTAAATGAGATAAGTGCACACACCAAAGAATTTGAAATAGATTGGACCCTTTGACTTGGACAAAATGTATTTCAAAGAAATATAGTGTAATCTTTGTTGTAAATTTAAATTTATTTAATATTAATGTGACGCGTAAATGACCAAATATTTTATGTCATCTCACTTAATTGAAGTTAAGTTTGCACACATACGAAACTAACGTAAAAAGAATCATTTGACTTAAACTTGTAGTGCACACATAAGTCATTAACATTTTCCGAGTAACTTCTTTTTAAGAAATAAAATTAGAAGTGCACACATAAATTAGACTATAAATACACATATAAATTTGAAATAGTACTTTTTTTAAAAAAAAAATTGTATGATTTACAAAAAAAAAAATTCACATAAACGTAAATTTAACCAATTTTTAGTAATATAAGAAATTATTTAACTATAGTATTCATTTAAATAATTTAAGTTAGTTAATTATTAATTAACTAATTTCACTAGATTTTATATTATGCTATAATTAAATATCAATAGTAATATTTTTTTTACTGTAAGATGATTATATCATTTCATTAATCATAATAGAATTGATTTTTTCTTAATTTAAGAACTAAATTAGGAATAATAAAACTTTCTTAAATTAAATTATGTGATTAAAAAGGTATAAATTCACATAAACACAAATTTAGTCAAATTGTTTTTTAGTAAAATGAGAAACTATTTAAGTGCGTTCATTTAAATAAATTAAATCAGTTAATTAAATAAGATTTTGCAAAGGTTAATTATCTAAAAAAAATCAATTATACTTTGTGATATAATTATAGGAGTAACAAAAAGAAAACTTAGGGGTTGCTATAGGTAAATTGGGCTGATCACAAAATGTGGTCCAGCAAGAAAAGAAAAAAAAAGATCCTAGTGTTGGACTACCCAATCCCAATAAAAACAGGTCTGAATAATGTTGCAGGGATTAATTAACTAATTTCATTAGATTTTATGTTGATTTTGATCTCTACTTTCTTGCATTTTTTACAGATCGGAAAAAGACCTTCAAATGAAAGAGCTGCTCAGAAAAATTGCTTTATAATATAAGTTAAATTGTTATTCCCACATAGAAGAACTCGTTTCCGACTTCTTTCAACAAATAGAACTCATAAAATTAGAAAGGAGAGAAAATAACAAGATTTATAAATTACCTAAATGAGGTACAAATTTACGCACTTAGTTACTTTATGAAGAAATGTTATTATTTTATGTATAAAAAATTATCAGGAAAATGTGAAAATAACGTGGAAAAATTCAAAATAATATTTTTAAATTGATAGCCTTGATAAAGTATTTTATTCATGAATCAATTGTTTAAATAAACATGAACTTGTATATTAAACTAGTGCTCAAAATTGTAAAAATATAAACTATATGATAGCAGCCCAAGTACAACCAAAGGAAGTGAAGAAAAACGGGTTAAAAGAAGCACTCAAAAGCCCGGTTGGCATAAAGATTATGTTTTTAATTAAAATAGTTGACCCAATTTCTATCTTATAAGCCCAATTATGTTTCAGCATAGTTTAGTTTTTCTTTCAAAAAAAAAAAGTTAGAATAGTTTTCTGAACTACTCGGGCCTTGGCTGGAGGGTGCTTGCTACCCTAGTTTTCAAGTTGTATTTATTCTAACATGATGAAATGAAATGGCAGCAGATTATTCCCCTTTCTTTTGGTAGCTTTAGTGTTGGGAGATTTGGTCTATCTCGAAGCAAGACCTTGTTAGGAAAAACTATCAAAAATCCTAACAATTTTGGTGCTTTCATTATCATCCATGCCTCCTCGAAAGGATGTGGACGAAACCTTGGCAGCCTTGGCAGACCGCATCACCACCTTACAACAGCAACAAGAGACCCGTTTTGAAAACTTTCAATCCCTAATGGATGCCAGGTATGAATCCATCAATGATATCCTAGCCACTGTCGTTGAAAAACTTGCTACTGTTCAACCTTCCTCTTCATCCACTATTGATACCAACCTTCCACCTCTCCCTACTAATCTCAACAGCCCTGGACTTGAGGGTTCTACTCACCATAACCCACCTCCATTTCCCTCTCTCACCCCAAACCTTTTTTCCACCCCTTTTACCCCTCCACCTTTCACCACTATATCTCGTCAGTTTTCCCCACATAACCCTATTCATGCTTTTCGACCTCCTAAATTACAACTTTCTCATTTTGACAGTTCCGAACCCCTTGATTGGCTATTCCAAGCAGAGCAATTTTTCTCTTACCATCAGATTCCCGTTGATTCCCGTTTGCCTATGGTTGCTTTTTATATGAAAGGCGAAACTCTTTCATGGTTTAAATGGATGATCCACAACCAACAACTTTCTGATTGGCATGCTTTTGAGCGTGCTCTAGAGCTCC